TATCGACACCCGGCTGCAACATGAAACACAAACTCTGGACACTAGCCTTGTTTCTGATTTTACTGAGCTCCCAGATGCACCTCTTCCAGGACTGACTTAAGGGACAAGGGACTTTGGAACCTGAGAAATTTAATTCCATGTCAATAAAGCCTTTTTCCACATTCCATCCCCCCGTGGGGGCTTCTGAAAATGCTTCTTTCAGCAGTGCCCCAAGATCCTTGCTCCCCCAAACAACAGGGGAGTTTCATCCGCCGGCAACAGAAGTACATTTCTTTCATGGTAAGAAAAAACTGTGTTTAGTCAAAATCACATGTATTATAATTGTAAAACATTCTAGGCATAATCCTATGACTCTTTTAAATAGTATCAATAGCCCTAGCTGGTTTGGCTCAGTGGATAGAGCATTGGACTGCGGACTGGAAGGTCCCAGGTTCGATTCTGGTCAAGGGCACATGCTCGGGTTGCAGGCTTGATCCCCAGTAGGGGGCATGCAGGAGGCAGCCAATCAATGATACTCTCTCATCATTGACGTTTCTGTCTCTCCCTCTTCCTTCCTCTCTGAAATCAATAAAAATGTATATAAAAAAGTAAATAGTATCAATAGATGATTTATGGTATTTCCTTGACAAACTAACTATGCAGAAAATACAGAGGTCCTTTGATAATTCAGAGACACATTTTTACTAGAAAAGTATTAACTGGATCAAAGAAACAACCATCTTAACTTTACATTCATACAGCTTTTTCTTTTTAAATAATTTTCACAAACACCATTTCATTGACCTCAAGACAACATGGGTGATGACCAAGAGATTTAAAAACTAAAAAAATCCCACGTCTTAAAAATCATTTATTTAGTGTTGCCTTAAATCCAAGGAGAAATGTAGAATATGAATGGACTCCACGCAATAAAACCAGCACACTATTTCAAAATAAAATTACTGGTCTGGTATACTGTGTCCCTTTCTATATTTTAAACTGAAATAGATCTTTCAAATTTAAGAATGACCTCAGGAATATCTTTCTTCCACAGGGGCCAGTCTAATGTCACACTGAATTGTGCAATTTCTAATATACTGAGAAAAGTTACATAATAGAATCATCTTTTAAAACTCTTCTTATAGTGAGCAAATTACTCTGAAATGAATACCAAGGAGGACAAAACAACAGAGCTACACAGAAAATACAGAACTCTACCTTGTATTTTTGTCAGTAATTATTCTAATACCAACTATAAAGATTAAAAGAAAAAGAAACCCACTTCAAAAATCACATATTTCCCCCCATAAAATGTTTTAAAATACTGTAAAATTATTTCAACAAAAATTTTATGTGCTCAGTGCTTTGCTGATTACTACAAAGAAGTTGTATAACTGAAACTTTAAGAAGCTTATGGTTTAAAATAAACACAAGAGATATGAAGAACATATAAAAATGAGAATATTGAAATTTAAAAAGCCCATGATTTAAGCCAACAAAATACATTTCAAATACATACATACTTATAGGATGACAGAAGTGCTTGCTGGCCAAAAGCTCTGGTTCTTAGGTCAGATAGACCTGGGTCTGAATGTTGGCTCCTTCACTAATTAGCAGTTTGATTTTGGACAAGTTACTTAACCTATGTCTCAATTTCCTAATCTGTAAAAATAGGATAATAATGTTAAACTCATAAGTTTGTGAGGCTAAAATGAGATAATGTATATAGTTTATTACCAAATCTGGCATACCTCAATTCTCAAAAATGTTAGCTACCATTATCATCATCACTACATTATTGTTAAAAAGGTCCTGTAAGATAGAACTGCTAGTGTGTGTGTGAGTGTGTGTGAGTGAGAGAGAGTGAGAGTGAGAGTGAGAGAGAGAGAGAGAGAGAGAGAGAGAGAAGTGGACTAGTACACAGAAGTTATTATAATGAGCCTATGGGCCTCCTGGAAGGAAAAGAACAGAAACCTTGAACTTCTTCCAAATATTACAAATTACTCAAACCTGTCAGGTAATAGCAAAAAAGAGACAATGAAAGCCCATCTGATGACATTAAAAGAGAAAAAGACAAACCCGCTATTCCAAGTGTCCTGTCCAACCATCATAAGGACATATGGGACCATGAGGAAGTAACTATGAATTGAATGAGTTGGAATGATGAAAATCCAGGTCAACTTTAAAGTACAACACTCTTGGTTTATCATAACTGGGTTATTTTGCTTGCTTGTTTTTGTTTTTTTTGGGGGGGAGGGGGAGCGCACTGTCATCTTTCCTTCTTTAAGTAACTTACCAGTGTCACAAAGCTATTACATAATAGTGCCAGAATTCAATCCCATATTTGTCAGACCTCAGAATCCAGTATTCAAACACCAATTAATACAATGGAAAGCTCTTTTTGACAATCCATGGGCAGAAAGATGAGTTCATATGTGTCTTGCATATATATGGTAGAGATCAGATGATATACTATAACCTGCACAAGGTAAACTTATGGAAATTATTTTTAAACATAGAAAGCGAACCAACATAAAACTGAATCCTAAGAAACTAGAAGGTAGTATAGTCTCAGACAAGTTACTTAATTTTAATCTAAACCTCAGTTTTCTCTTCTGTAGAACAATACTTCCCTCATCTCTCAGGACAGTAGGAAGAAAATAAAGCACATGAAGTACAAACAATAACTAGTACTTCCTGATCCTCAAAAAACAGTAGAGCTCCTATCATCATTATCATCACCATCATGCCTTAACAATTTGATATTAATTTTGAATAGCAATACAGCAATTCATGCTTAAATAGTAAAATTAATAAATTTAGATTCCACATTCAATGTTCTTTTAGTGATATTGAAGAATGAATTAGAAAACATCTCACTACCTCATTCCTAAAAAAATAAAATAAAATAAAATTTGCTGATTATATTTGGTGATAGCATTTGAATTTTCTCCCTCCATGTTAGTTTAATAACTCAATTTACTTCTACAATTCACATGCAATTTACATTTTTACTGATATGTTGCTTAGTTGGCACATATCACATATTTTACATTAAAATTAAATAATTAAGTATTAAGAATAACAATTAACAATGATTCCTTCTTTCTTGTCTATGAATAAACTATCTTTAGAAATCTGAAAGAAAAAGTTTACAATGTATCTGGAACTTGCTGCTGATTCTCTTTTCTAAGAACTTAAATTCACCAAAAATCTGTTACCTCAGCTTAAGTCACAGTGCTCTGAAAGAGACCCAAAGATTGTATCTATCTGTTGTTCAAAGACACAAAGAAATCAATAATATGGAAGAAATATATGCTTCATGTATACGTCTTCATTAAAAAAGAAAATACAAACTGGAAGCATGCTAAGAAAAACAAGCAAAATAAAATGTGCTTAATTAAACAGAAAAAAAATAGCCCTGTAATCTAAATCAACTAAACCTTTAAAAATCATCCCAGTTAAAAAAATAAAAATTAGTTCTACTTAATAACATCTTTAATCATTAAGAGGGCTGGCCCTGATTAAATTCACAAACTAGGCCACGCTCCTTATGTGCACATTTAGCAACTCTCACTGAATGCAGATCTCTTCATCCAGAAACACCATGGTATAATTTAGTGAATTTAGTTGTAGCTCCAAAGCCCATTCTTTTTTCCACTATGTCATGAATGGGAAGATATTATCAGCCACTGTGGTAAATAACTTTATATTATCCCATGTATTCCTTACACACACTAAGAGATGAATTATCATACCAAGGGCCACATATGTTATACTTGGCAGAGGCTGCAGTGTCTGATTCCAGGTAGGCCTGGCTCTAACGCAGTGAGAATCTGTAATTCTCATCTCTTTTTATTATTATTATATTTTTTATTTTTCATCTCTCTTTTAAATAACAGAAAATTGTTCCCATTTTTAGACTCTTTTCTAAATTAATACTAAGATAATTAAGATTCACAAAATTTTTATTTATTTTTTATTATTTTTATTTTAGAAAAAGAAACATTGATGTGAGAGAGTTGTCTCCTGTACTCACTCTGACTGGGGATCGAACCTGCAACCTGGGTATGTGCCCTGACCGGGAATCGAACCTGTAACCCTTTGGTACACAGGATGACGCTTCAACCATCTGAGCCACACCAGCCAGGACCACAAAATTTCAAAAACCAATATAATACTAAAGCTAAAACAGAGATTAAAAGATGGACATCACAGCCAGTTTTCTTTAGGCTGGGAAAAATGCAGAATCAATAATCAGACAATAAAAGCTAATGCATGATCAATATCAAGAAGAATGTGCCTGTGGTATCCAAGGTCAGACTGGTTTTTCTTGCTTTGTGTGTGTACATATTTTGCACCTCTCAACCAAAACAGGCGTTTCAACTACAACTCTGTAAAACCCAAAAGAACAAGTATAGGCAAGTATGTGAACATGTGCAAAGTTCCCTTGAAGTCACTCAGGAGTGGCATGGTAAATTTATAACTTTACTTATTCCTTGGTTTACCATGGTATACTGAATTAACTAATAACGCAGATTTATTAATATCATAGCAGAAGTCAAAGACTAGCTTTAAATTACAAGAATGTGGTGTATATATATATTATTATCCTAAAGGTTTATTATGAGATATTTTCATACTTACCAAAAAAATGATTTGCAAATGTTTACACTAAGAATTTATCCAAAATGGTTATGATGAGCCTAACATTGAAGTTTTTAAATATTAGGGTTTTACAATCCAATGTTATTTCAAAAATTATTTTATCCAGATCATATAAATGGCATTTATTATGAAGCAAATCCTAAATTGGAAAATCAAGATTTGGTTTACTAAAAAGGGCATATTTTATTTTAGTTAACAATTAAAAATATTTATCATAGAAAAGTCCCTTAGAAATAAAAGTATTTCACAAATTTAATTCTGTACTGCTTTAATTTTACCACCCAAATAATATACAACTTTTCAGTAACACACAATATATCTCAAGATGGACAAGTAAACACTGGCGACCCTACCTTGTGCTGTTCGATGGCATCTATCCACTGTTGTCTGTGATCTGGATCCTGAGCACGAAGATACCAAACGCTATCATTTACACTAATATCAAATCGACATTCATCAAAATCATGGGGCTGTAGAGAAAAAAGTAGAAAGTGAAAAGCAAAACTAATTATATTCTTAGAAGTATCATACTCTACAGCAAAAAACATAAACATAACCCATTCTGGCTGGTGGGACACTCTTGTTATTCTTTTGTTTTTCTACTCAAGTAACTTTTTCGTTGTTTCTTTTTTTTTTAATCCTCACCTGAGGATATTTTTTCCATTGATTTTCAGACAGAGTGGAAGGGAGGAGGGAGAGAGAAAAACATTGCAAGTGACACATTGATTGGTTGCCCCTGTATGCGCCCAAATGGGGCCAGGAATAGAACCTGCAACTGAGGTACATACCCTTATATAGAACCTGAGACCCTTCAGTTCACGGGTTGATGCTCTAACCACTAAGCAATCCAGCCAGGGCTCAAGTAACTTTTTTGAAGAGTCCTCAGATGAAGAGTACAACAAGGGTAAAGTTACCAAACACTAAATTTCATTCACCATTCCTACAAATGAGGTGACACAAGCTATAAATATATTTCAAAAAAGTGTTTTTCATCAAATGCTTTTAGTTAGCTAAACTAATGGAAACATTACTGAAAACACAATTAAAAAAGGTTCAAAATAGACCAGCTGGGGTGGCTCAGTGGCTGAATGTCAACCCATGAACCAGGAGGTCACAGGTAATTCCCGGTCACGGCACATGCCAGGTTTCGGGCTCAATCCCTAGTAGGGGGTGTGGAGGAGATAGCTGATCAATCATTGATGCTTCTCTCTCTCTCTGTGAAATCAATAAAAAAGATATTTTTTTTTATTTAAGAAAAAGGTCCAAAATAAGTCTTAGGAAAGACATTACATTTTTTCTGCCTCCATTATTCAAAAGTAAATTCTCATCATGAAGAGTTTGATTTCATTAAATTTTATAAACAAGATATTTTTACATTCTATCACAAAATAGTTAACATTTCCTCCTAAGTATCTCAAATTAACTTCTAGGCTTTTATGTCTTTGATAGTAACAGTCAGGAGAGCTTTCAATGAAAAGCAAAGATAAAATGAATAATACATCAGACTTATGTTAGATAGTGGAAACTGCCTGCTTTTGAGTCAAAATGTAAACACAGTGAAAATGTCAACTATTTGGTTTAGTGTTTTACACTATTCATAAGACTGTATAAAATTAGTATCTTAATTTTTTGCCCAATAAGTGAATTACAATATTACAGAATCTCATCACATATGCCACATCATTGTCTACTGGATAGAGTACAGAGAGTCATCAATGTAACAGAAAACTTATTTGCTGAAGAAAATTTACACTTTGCATTTCCAGGGTTTATTGTTTATTCTCTTCCCCCTTAATAGCATCAATCTTTTATCTCTTTATCAATTTATTTAGCAAAAATTATAAAACTCCACAATGTTCTTTAGCCTATAAAACTATTTCTTTTAAGATTAAGACAATAAACCACAGTTCTGAGTGGCCAAAGTATACACATTAAACATTTCCTGAATCACTATGTACTGGCCTCATATGACTACTAGAGGCCTGGTGCACGGATTCATGCACTGGTGGGGTCCCTTGGCCTGGCTGCGGGGATCAGTGGACCTCCGCACTGCTGCAGTCTGGCCTTACCCGCCAGCTCATTGGGCTCCAGCCTGCTGTCTGAGTCGATTCCGCACAGCACGAAGTAGTGCGCAAAGTGGCGCCGGGGAGAATTCTGAGCCCGGGCTGGGTGCCACGCCGCTCCTGCTCATCCCACCCCGCTGCACCTGCCCCCAAATGGGGCTGAAAACAGGGCAGACTGAAAGTGTATATAGGCTACAGCAATAGATCTTCTTTACATGGTTCTGAGTGGCGGTTGTTTACTTCATAGTTGATAGTTTCAGTGATGCTGTGAGAGAGCAGCACACACAGGTCCGCTATCTATCCTAGCATATTCTTTAAAATTCTTTAGATTATTTCTTAAAATTTCTGAGTTTTCCTGATTTTTTAATTGTTTACCCCCTATCCTGATCATAATGGTATATATCTCAGATAAGTTCATAGAAGTTCATTTCAATAATAATAAGGTCTAATAACTACAAAAAAAAAGCTGAACAGAATACCTACTCCATGGATTATACAGCAATTTTAATAAAGTTAGTGTATGAAAGAAAGATTAATAACTACCTTTAAATTGTATGGTTAGAACTAATTGCCTTAATTTGTTTGCCCATATATTTTTCTATAAATCACATATAATACTTTTGTTAAAGGACAAAAGTGCTGACTGATACGTGTGGAAGGAGTTTGTAGAGTTGAAAAATCACCATTTTGTCAATCATAGAAAAGATTGGGTGGGGTAGGCACCATAAATAGTTGAAAAATCAAAAGGCCCTCTTCCCTGATCTCCAGACTTTCACTCAGTTGCCTTCTCTATTATTTTCTCTTAAATAGCTATGATGCATCTCAATATACCTAAAACTGATCTGATATGCCTCCCTCCCCAAACTTCTCTTGCAGGCTTCTGAACTTTCGTAAATGGTAACTACCAACTGCTTAGACCTAAAATCATATGACTCCTCATCTTTCACACCCTATAAGGAATCCATCAGCAAATCTGCAAATCTTGTCAGCTCTACCTTCAAAATGAGTCTGGAATCCAATCATTTCTCATAATCTCTACCGTTACTACTGTGGTCCAAGCCACTATCACCTTTCACCTGAATTATTTGCAATAACCCCCTAAGGCTGTCTGATTCTGTTTTCCTACTTCCATCTCAGCATTTGTGACTCACATTATACTTCTACTGAACAATCATGATCTAAACCATTCATTTTACCTATCTATCTATGTAAATAACCAACCAATGACATATTTATGCACACCTATTATTTACCAAGCACTATTCAAGGCACCGAGAATATAATGGTGAGGATGAACTGCTATGATCCTTTGCAGAGATCACTTTGACCAAATAATCACACACAAAATGTAAAACTTCAAATATAACAAGCCATAGTTAAGAAAGGTACACCATGTTGAGAAAGCCTATAATAAAAGGAAGTAACCTAGTTAGGGGAAGGCTTCCAAGAAATAATACTTCAGCCAAGAGAAGGATGAAATGAAATGAACAAAGAAGGCCCTAACAGGTTTGCCTCAGTGGTTAGAGCATCAGCTTGCAGACTGAAAGGTCCCAGGTTCCATCCCGGTCAAGGGCATGTACCTTGGTTGCAGGCACATCCCCAGTAGTAGGTGTGCAGGAAGCAGCTGATCGATGTTTCTCTCTCATCCATGTTTCTAACTCTCTACCCCTCTCTGTAAAAAAAAAAAAAATCCTCCCCAAGGATATTAAAAAAAAAAAAATGAACAAAGAAGGAAAACATTCAGCATGTAACCTGGTTGGAGTGGCTCAGTTGGTTGAGCATCCTCCTATACACCAAAAGGTTGCTAGTTCAATTCCTGATCAGGGCAAATACCTGGGTTTCGGGTTCAATTCCCAATTGGAGCACATAGGTGGTCGGCAAACTGCGGGCCGCGAGCCACATGCGGCTCTTTGGCCCCTTGAGTGTGGCTCTTCCTAAGCCTTAGGAGTACCCTAATTAAGTTAATAACAATGTACCTACCTACATAGCTTAAGTTTAAAAAATTTGGCTCTCAAAAGAAATTTCAACCGTTGTACTGTTGATATTTGGCTCTGTTGACTAATGAGTTTGTCGACCACTGGGTTAGGCAACCAATCAATGTTTCTCTCTCTCCCTTCCTCTCTCTAAGCAATAATTGGGGGGGGGGAGTGCATGTAAAGATCTAGGGGCCCAGCCGGTGTGGCTCAGTGGTTGAACTGAGTGGGGAGGTCATGGGGGCATGCAGGAGGCAGCTGATCAATGATTCTCTCTCATCAATGGTGTATCTTTTTCTTTTCTTTTCTTTCTTTTTCTTTGTTTTTTCTTGATAATCCTCACCCAAGGGTATTTTTCCATTGGTTTTTAGTGAGTGGAAGAGAGAGGGAAAGACAGAGAGAAACATCGATGTGAGAGAAACACATCAGTTGGTTGCCCGAGGCCCCAGTTGGGAAGGAGCCTGCAACCAAGGTATGTGCCTTGACTGGAATCAAACCTGGGACCCTTTGGTCTGCAGGCTGATGCTCTATCCACTGAGCAAACTGGCTAGGGTGCATCAATGATGCTTCTATCTCTCTCGCCTTCTCTGAAATCAATAAAAATATATATATATATTTAAAAAGATCTAGGGCAGGAAAGAGCAAGCCAGATAAGATCCTGAAAGAGGTATATAGCGTGACTGAAGGTGACACAGTGAGAGGGAGTCCCCTAGAGATGAGAGTTAAGAAGGCAGGCCCTGGCTGTGTGGCTCAGCAGTTAAAACATTAGCCTGCCCATTGAAGGTTCAATCCCCAGACCCGGTCTGGGCACATTCAGGAGGCAACCAATCAATGTGTCCTCTTACACTGATGTTTCTCTTTTTCTCTCTCCCCCTCCCTCCTGCTCTCTCTAAAAATCAATGGAAAAGCCTGGCCGGCATGGCTCAGTGGTTGAGCGTCGACCTATAAACCAGGAGGTCATGGTTCGATTCCCAATCAGGGCACATGCTGGGGTTGTGGGCTCGATCCCCAGTAGGGGGTGTGCAGGAGGCTGCCAATCAATGATTCTCTCTCATCATTGATGTTTCTATCTCTCTCTCCCACTCCCTTCCTCTCTGAAATCAATAAAAATATATTTCTAGAGTTTATAAAATGTCTTAAATATATTTGCCAGTAAAAGCCTGTTTCTAAAGGTTATAAAATGTCTTCATAAGTTGCCAAGCTAAAGAATGCTAATTGCTTACTTATTTTCATTAGAAATTGAAGTTTTAAGGGTTAAAATCTCATCTGTAGGAAAACTTCTAAGGTACAGTGTATGGACAAACATGGTTGTAAATTCAACAGTCAGGGCTATGAAAAACCAAAGACGACTGCTGGGTTCTTCCCTGCTCTCTGGTTCCCCATTTTTCAGCTTTTGCATTTCTTCATGCATCACAGTATCTTTAAACTAGACTCAGATGAAGGAATTTAAGAGCTGACATTACTGAAAAGAAACATCTTATACCATTGCCAAGGTTTGATAGAGTCACTTCAAGAAAACGCCAAGTTGGTAACTCCTTCTTTTCACAGGGAGCTCCCAGGAGACAGACACTTTAAAGATCAGTTGACTGCCATCTGGAGATTTTGTTTATTGAAGACAGCATCAAATAAAAGACACTCTCCAACCTCATTGGACGGGAACTTATCAGGCACCTAACTGCGAATGGACATCTTACTCCTGTCTACAGACATCAAAGACTCTTTGAGGAAAAGAAGCTGCCAATACCAGAGGTAGACAACTATCCCAAGACATCAATAAGGCCTGCATATATACAGATTGATACTGAACTCAGCAAACATTTTGTTTTATTGTCTTTACCTGATTGATAATGATATTAGTCACAATAATATATTTATTCTGAGTTTCTCTATATAGTCAAACTATTTATGATTACTGAACATGCATAAGATAATTGTTAATACTCTTTTCATGACTTATGTAAATGTTATACTAGATGCCAAATATTAAAAAAGTGACAGAAACTCGGATCATGATATTGCACAGGACAGAAATGACCAGTCTATTTTTTACTCAATGAAGGCCATTAAAATCTTGAGACAGCATGGGTACTTGCGCTCAGGATCCCAAGAACACCAGATAAGAAAAATGCAGCACTGACATCACTCTGCTGCCCCTTATGTGATCCCAAGGACCCCAGTTAGCCACAAGAAACACCAATAAGAATGTCACCAACCCTCCACTTTCTGGCTCTCCCACTCCCACGAAAGCAGAATTTTACCTTCCTTCTAACTGCTTGCTTCTCCAACCCCACATGGAAAATTCTACAAGCCCACCTTTTTGCACAAACCCACTTTGTCCCCAACTTATAAAAGCAGCCAAGCAGAGCCAGACCCTTGAGCCAGTTCAGAGAACCTTCCTTTCCCCTGTGCTGCCTCCCTGTGCTTGAGCATACACTTAATAAAAATCTGTCTGGAAATTTCTTTAAGGTTTCCTCTTGATGTCTCTATCTTGGGAAACCCAAGAACCCTAATACTGGTAACAACCTGATGCCTGCCATTTTGGGGAAAAATCTGACTCCCATGGTTACGGTATTGCCTCATCCCCAATGAACAAGATGGCATCGATACCGAGACTTTCTAGGAATAAGCCTTTCCTAGCACTGTGAGACCACTCTATCTGACCAAAATATTGGTCATCAATGCATCCTTCAGATTAATGTATGACTAAGGGGAAACTGAAAAAAAAAGAAAGAAAGAAAAAAGAAAGTAACCTCACAAGGTGATCTGATGATAAATTTGTAACTAGGTAGGTCATGGTGGTAGGCATGCCCCAGACATATAACTTCTTTACTAAAAGTTTATCTATGCTTTAAGTAAGCCCTGTCCATTGTTTCTGTACATCTAGGTTAACACCCTTTGAAATAACTACCCTGAAGAGAGCACACAACCTTATTAACTATCAGTTAATCCAATTCCTACTTTGCTTTCTCCCACCTCCATGTAATCTTCCTTACTTTCCCTCCTCAATTTCAAATGCATAAAAGAAGTTGCAAAACTGTTATTCTCAGGGAGTATTTGAGACCTTGCTTCCTGGGTATGTACTGTCAGTTTGGCTCAAATAAATGTTTATAAAAATTAAAGAAAAGAAAAAACAACCACCAAAGTTCTGCATGCAAATATAAGTATAACAACAACAAAAATCTACAAAAAAAGTTTTTCCTGAGCAGACGCAATGTACATGTTCATTAAAAATTTTCCTTTGCCCCAAATAAGCCATGCACTATTATCATTGTCCATAATTTAAGATAGGATAACTATATTTAAGTCTACATAAATTAGCATGGTACTTTAGAAATACTACTACTTAGTAAACAATAAAGATAAAATTTCATTCCTTCCTATTTACACATCAACCATCAACATATTTTCAGAGAGTCAAATATGTAACCAACAAACATGTGGCAATATGCAAAAAGGAGGTGAAGAGCCTAGGAAAACACTTCAAGAAAGTACATTTCTATGCACTATTCTGTCTTATAGAATGGATAATGTTCTACCTTAAGAGAAATAAAACCCCCAAATAATAAACTAGATACAATTTAAAAATACACTATAATGTACCAAATACCAGTCAAAATAAATACTGAGCCTTTACATTTAAAATATTTCTTTTTTTAAAAAATATTTTTTTATTGATTTCAGAGAGGAAGGGAGAAAGAGAGGGAGATAGAAACATCAATAATGAGACAATCACTGATCGGCTGCCTCCTGCATGCCCCACACTGGGGATGGAGCCTGCAACCTGGGCATGTGCCCGGACCAGGAATCGAACCATAAACTCCTGGTTCTTAGGTCGACGCTCAATCACTGAGCCACACTGAACGTGCTCAAAATAGTTCTTTTAAAACTGTCCCTAAGAATGGAGAGTAGTAGTTCAACTCTCAACACTTCCAAACAATTCCTCTATAGGTTTTTCTATCTCAATATTCAACTAAGCTTTTGTTTTCAAACTTGGAATATCCAAAAGGAGCAGAATGTATGAAAAATAAAGGAAAAATACTGTAAGATTTTTCTTAAATGTGTAAAATAAACATATGTCAGATTTAGATATCAAAACAGATCCAAAGTGCTTTCTACTTTTATAAGCAATATAAAGTCTGTCATAATGTGAATTCTCTTTGAATGTATTAGTAAAATCTAGATTAAGTTTTAACATACCCATTTTCAGATTTTAACTACAAACACTACCTTCACTGACCTGCATTCAATTGACCTGCCTTAACCAACACTTTTTTTTTTGCTCTTTATTAAATATGCCAAGGTATGCTGACCACTATTAGTATGCTATTTTTAGTATATCCAGGCACTTCTGATCCCACTAGTTGAGATATATGTTTAACCGGTCAGTTGGTTGTTCCCAAACCTGATTATGCCAGTTTACTTGTTATACTTCTTACATAATTTAAGTAAACATTATGTAAGTGTATGAAATACAAGTACAAAAAGAGGTTTGTTCCTATGTAAACTAAGTTGAATGTAAACCAAGTAATTACTCAGTAAAGGTGAGTCAGTCCTTTAAAAGGTATTGAATTAGATAAAGGTAAGACATCTGTAAAATATTAGAAAATCATTAAAAGTCAGAAAGAACCTATATTTAGAGTTTTTAAAAAAGTATCTTTAAGCTTTTATTCTATTTTAGAGATATCAAAACTGGAAATTACAAAGCATGCATTATGAATATAGTTTACACAAGATCAACTTCTCTTAACTCCACATTCAAAGACATGGTGTTAGCTATATATAAAAAATTTGGTAAGCATAGATTTATATATTTTGTTAAAATTTTAAAATGCTGACATACGTTTGTGTTTTTTTTGGTTAATCCTCACCCAAGGATATTTTTTTCATTGCCCTTTAGAGAGTGGACGGGAGGTAGGGAGGGGAAGACAGAGAGAAACATCGATGTGAGAGAGGCATTACATATGCCCCATTCAGGGCCAGGGATCAAACCCACAAACCAGGTACATGTCCTTGACTGGGAATTGAACCCAAGATCCTTCAGTGCAGAGGTGGACACTCCAATCATTGAGCAACTTGGCCAGGGAAAGATATGTATTTTTTTTATTTTCCTGCTTTACTGTAGGGAGGTGGCTATAGGGTTAAGCCTCAGACTGACCTGTTGGCAAAGCCACAAACAAGTCCCAGCTTAGAGGGCACAGCCCTCTTAGCATAATTAGGCTTGACCTTGTGATGCTCCCTAGATCTTATCTGGGTAGCTAATGGGCTGAGGGAGATGCAGCAAGTGCTACCAAAACAGTGAAACTCACAAGAACACTGTAACTATGGTGACCACTACCTTGTTTACCTCTGGCTATAAAATAAAGGCTCAGCTTGCTCTCTGGATCTCTCTATGTGGCCTCAGCCAGGCACAGGAAGATCCACCTAGACCCAGCTTATTCTGTCTTTTCTACATCCTTCACAGCCCCCAGTCAGGCTCACTGAACCCCTGGCTGAGCTGGCCCGGCACACTTTACTATTTTTAATAACCTACCAATCTCAACAGACATGAAACCTTCTAACATCCTTTTTTTTTTCTGAAGGCCTTACTTAAGGGCTTGCTATACCAACTAGATAATTATTACATGTCTATATAAAATAATAGCATGTAACAATAAACATTCTAAAATAGCTTTATGGAAAAAAAAGCATTAGATTATATACTCCACAAGGGCAAGAATCTTTACCTATTTTGTTCACAGATGTATACCAGGTAGGTAGAATAGTTCCTGGTGTATAGTTGATGCTCAATAAGTATCTGTTTAATGAAAGACAACAGAAACTTACCGTGATGACAGCCTTGCTAAGACAGATGGATCCTCTGCAGCCATACTCTGTCTCATCTTCAGATTTGTAGTAACTCAAAGTATTATTTTTCATAACTACCCAACGATCTTGCCATCCATGAATGTAGTTTGTCCACTGGGAATAGAAGAAAGGCGGGGTGGAGAGGGGTGGGGGGAGGAAAACAAAAAATAGTAAGTCAGTATTTTAGAAATCCAAACTTTCTAAAATAGCAATCAATCTGATTTTAAAACCAAAATTCTAACGTAATAATAATTAGTAAAAATGATTACAAGAAGTGGAAAGTTGGTATTTTCTAGATTGTATAATGATTTTCAGTAATTTTTTATAAAATCATAAATAAAATAAATAGATCAATATAATATAATATTTTCTTCTAACATTTGAGGAATAAAATATAAGCAGATTTCAGTTTAAAATTCTGCTTTGCCTCTTGCCAGGCTGGGCACATGCCTGGTTGCAGGCTTGATCCCCAGTAGGGGGCGTGCAGGAGACAGTGATGTTTCTCTCATTGATGTTTGTATCTCTCCCTCCCCCTCTAAAATCAATAAAAACATATTAAAAAATAAAATAAAATTCTGTTTTGCCTCTGCACAGCAAAGGAAACCAACAAAACAAAAAGGCAACCAACCAAGTGGTAAAGATATTTGCAAATGATACTTCCGATAAAGGGCTAATATCTAAAATTTGGACAGAACTCATATAACTCAACAACAACAAAAAAACAATTCAATTAAAAAATGGACAGAGGATCTGAACAGACATTTTTCCAAGACGACAAACAGATGGCGAATAGGCATAGGAAAAGATGTTCAACTTCACCAATTACTAAGGCAATGCAAATCAAAACCACAATGAGATATTACCTCATACCCATTAGATCAGCTATTATCAAAAAGACAAAAAATAGCCCTAACCGGTTTGGCTCAGTGGGTAGAGCGTCGGCCTGCGGACTCAAGAGTCCCAGGTTCAATTCCGGTCAAGGGCATGTACCTTGGTTGTGGGCACATACCCAGTGGGGAGTGTGCAGGAGGCAGCTGATCGATGTCTCTCTATCGATGTTTCTAACTCTCTATCTCTCTCCCTTCCTCCCTGTAAAACATCAATAAAATATATTTTTTTAAAAAGACAAAAAATAACAATGTTATAAAGGATGTGGAGAAAAGGGAACCCTCTTGCTCTGTTTGAGATTACAAATTGGTGCAGTCCCTATGGAAAACAGTATGGAGGTTCCTAAAAAAATTAAGAATAGACTACCATATGGTCCAGCAATTCCTCTTCTGGGTATTTATCCAAATATGAAAATACTTTTTTGAAAAGATATACGTACCCCTATGTTCACTGAGGTATTATTTACAATACCAAGATATGAAAACAACTTAAGTGTCCATTGATGAATGAATAAAGGTGTGTGTGTGTGTGTGTGTACGCGCACAACACTACTCAGACATAAAAAATGAAATATTGCCATTCTGACAACGTAGACAGATCTTGAGGGTATTATGCTAAGTGAAATATAATGGTGTGGAAAAGAACAAAAAACATATGATTTCACTCATATGTGGAATGTAAAACAAAAAGTAACAAACTAACAAAACAAAAACAAACTCATAGATACAGATAACAGACTGGTGGTTACCAGAGGGGAAGGGAAGTGGTGGAAGGGTGAAATGGGTAAAGAGGGTCAAATATATGATAATGGATGGAAATCAGACTTTTTGGTGGTGAGCATGCAATGGAATATAGAAATATTAAGTTTCAGTTGTATACCTGAAATCTATATAATGTTATTAACAAATGTTACCTTAATAAAAATTTTTTTAAATTATACTTTGCTCTTTGTGTGTTTTCATCCTCCCCTGCTCACCACCTCATGACACTTAAATTATTTTGGTCCCTGCTACAATTAAGATAATTCAATAGAAACGTAAGTTTGGTTATATAGTCTCTCATTCTCCTACACCAAGTACTACATGAGATCTTTTAAATCAACGGAAGTATGAAGCTAATTATGGCCAAAACTGTACTTTTGTTGTAAGTTATTCCTATAGGAAAATTTATGGTGTTCATAATTACATCAAAGTAAAATACTAGATCATTAGTCTAAGTCTATATCAACTTCATTTTTTTTCCTCTACAGAACTCAACATTTCGTATTTCAAACAGTTAATTCATTTTCCAAGTTTCTCTGAAGATCTATTTTCAAACCCAAAAGCAATATACTAATACAAAACTGGTTTTTCAAAAACATGCTTGGAATATCTGTTTCCAGTACCTATAAATGGTTTCTGTGCTGCTAAAGTTTTTCTGCACACTGAAGAGCACAATCAATAAACTTGCAAGGGCGGAAATATAACCTCTATGGAAATTCTTGATTTTGCTTATTTTCATGTTCTGGAGGTTTTAAATATAGACAATTCCAAAATTGACTGCCAAAAACAAATTCAAAATTGTTAAAAATATACATACTGCATTGGCTCAGGCTCTTTACCCGTTGAGAAATCTTTACTTTCCTATTCCCTAACTCAGCATCTTTGAGATGGGGCTTAAATCTTCTAAGCCCCATCATTACAACTCCTCCCTGAGCAGTCATTCATGCTGGCAATTTAACTCATTATTTCCTAATGCTCCCTAATCATCATTCCCTTATTTTTTTTAACTCCCTATGACTTACCACCACTTATACTGAAAGTTGAAATAATGATTCTTACATACAAAACTCAACTCACCTCTCTTAAGGTACACTTTCTCCCTAAGTTCCCATTTCCTTGACTTCTGGACTATTAGTCAAAGACCATTTCCTTGACTTCTGCAGTCATTCAGACTCAAACTGTTTATTGTGTGGACAGAGCAGTGGATACACAATCAGAGACTCAATTACTTTACTAGTTATATGAGGAGTTTTGAAAAGTTATTTAACTTTTCTGAGCTTCAGTTTGTTTATTTGAATGGCTGAATAAAATCATGACGACCCCTACTATATTCATAGGAATACTCAATTCCTGAGGGTTCCTTCTCAATCTTTATAGCCCATTACCAACTCCTATTCATCTTTCCTACGTATTAAACCCTTAAATTTGGCTACTCTTTTGTATTTTCAATTAATCCAATTAAATGATCAGGTTCCTAGATTTCTGAGAAGGCTTAATAACCTTATCTCTAGTATCTTCTGCTTTTTATTTCATAACTTACATAATCTTACTTATTAAGCATATTTGCTTATTTATCTTACATGTTAATCTCACTGAATGCTCAGTTCTGAAACTTACATGAACAACTCCCCACTGCCTACAACACAAATTGTTGAGACTGGCAATCTTACTTAATGCACTTCACTTTCAATTATTGCCCTTCAGAAGGCTAGTAACTGTGACTATAGTTAGGTTACTTATCTATTTCTCTGTCAAAATCTGCTTCAGAATTGTTAAGACAAAGTAAGAAGAGACTTAGAACATTGCCAAGCACATGGCACTTTCTGAGTTGGAGGCAGTTAGGCATAGCTAACGAAGCTTAACATTCAGCGCAGCTCACCTCTTCCAAAGTGACAGAAGGGGCCCTAGCAATTTTGTGTTCACAATTTCATATCATTTCTTTACAGAGGACCCAATGAAGTACATAAGCCTCAGGACCCTTTAGTCAGTAATATTAAACTATTATCATACCTAGAAGGCAGATATTTGCCTTTCTCTACCCTCATAAAATACCTTCACTTTTCCCTATTTAACAAGTAGAGACAAGGAAATATGCTAGACACTGCAAAAGAATCAAAGATTTCTGTTCCCAAGCTATATTTTCAAAAGAGAAAATAAATCTACATTTAAAATAAAAAGAATCAAGTTACAAATAAAATGCTATGGGAATACAAGGGAAGGAGAACTGAATGGTTGGTGAAATAAAAGAATAACACCAAAACCTATACTCCTGTTGATCTAAGTATGCAGAAACACTGAAGTTATTTACCTACCACAGAAGTGGCCAAATACTACATTTCTACACATTTAAAAATCAAAGAGACAGTCTTCCGTTTTTTCTGTATTTCCATATAGGATGCCTACTATACTGCTCTGAATACTCAGAGCACTAGTGACTCCCCTAGTCACTCCAATCCCTCCAAAATGATCAATAGGTCAAAAGTACAGCTTGTTTTGTCAAATACCACCACCACAATACTAATTTGAAAGTCTGCTTCTCATCTAATGAGAAAAGCGATGAAACTACCAGAATCACTCAGAAGCAAAGAGCCCACTTCATAATAATTCCATCTGAAAATTTATACCTATTACAAAATGAATTCAATACAGATTCTTAAATTACAAGATACAGTTAATCTAGAGAAACCCTAGAGAGCTTCACTTTACTGAAAACCTTTCACTGAAATTCCAATAATGAGCACAATATCAACACACACCATAATTTTTCTGCTATGCAAATAAGAATTAACACTTGTTAAGCCTTTGTTCTGATATATTCATGCCTTTCTTAGGCCTTTTCTCACTAGTCTTCTAGACATTATAAACACTTAATATGAAACAATTCCAAATGCTGTCCAAATGCTTAGCCAAAGTACGTATACTGGAAGCAGGGTGATTTCTTAATAGCTGCACATGACCTAGTATCTTATGACCAGCTTGTTGAGAGACTCGCCCCAGCTGCCCTCCTTTCTCCAGGTTAACTGCTGGCTCCAGCCATTTCTAAAAGTTTAACAGGAAGGGAGAAGGAAGTAAAAAAGCACAATGTGGATCTTCTCATAACTTTAAGAAAAACAAACAAACGACACCACCCGCTTCCCCCCCCCCCCCACATACTATCAAAAGATTACCCACCCTCCTTCTCTCTTAAAAGGAGCCTACAAAATGACTTTTTGCTTTGCTAACATTTTGAAAAAGGGCTCTTAAAAAATACAGGAAAGGTAAGCTGTCGTTTCCTTACTCTGGCCCTCTGACTGCAAGAATGTTTTATTAAATAATGCCCTTCTTCCTGGACTAAAAGTCGGTCTCCATTCCAACATGTTCCAAGTTACTATGAATATGTTTTGTGCCTATCAAGCTATCGATTCAATAGCTCTTTTCTGAACAGGGGTAAATGGCGAGGGGAAAAGTACAAACGTCCTCCTCATTGAGATCTCTCCCTACATCTAAGCTGGCATAGTTTTCCCCCTCACATTTCAGCAGCAAGTCTAGCTGCCATGGCTTCTGTGTAAACAGCCACGTTCCCAGAATCCCCCAACCCTACTCCGCTTGGCATCTCTGCACTAACCTCTTTCGAGATCCGATGTGCACTGTTCCCATACCCAGCTGTTCCGAAACCGCTGTTGCTCAACCCGGATTCCTACCCCCGGGACAGCTGCCACCCTGAGTCCCAAGTCATGGTGCGCATCCTGCCCCCTAACTGGACCCGGTCTCTGGCGGCAAACCCCCCGGATAGACAAGGAGGACAGTGCCCCTTTTTCTCCCCTTTCTCCCGCTCCATCCCTCGTCCGGGCACCCCAGCACCTTCCGCAGCCGCCGCCCCGGGACGGTCCGTGCCCCGGACCCAGCCCCACCCCACCCCATGCCCTCAGCGGCGCGCCTCCGGCAGGTGAGTCCGGGCAGGGGGCCCTCGGCTCCGCGGGGGGCTCACCTTGCTCAGCACCCCGCAGCGCTCCACAGGCGGCCCGAACTCCGTCTCCGGATCCTCCTCCGAGCCCGACGAGTTCCAGCTCTGGTTATCCGACATGGAGGCGCGACAGGCGAGCAGGAGACCGGCCCCTGCTCCGTGAGCTGCGCCGGAGGCGGCGCCTAGTCCCCGGGGTGAAATGTCGGAGGATGGCGAAGGGAAGAGCGCCCGCTCCCGCGCTGGGGGGTGCTGGAGGTAGGACGAAGTCCGCCCCGCGCGCCGCCGCCGCCGCTGCGCCTGACACCGAGCGGACCGGGGAAGGAGGACGAGCGGCGAAGGAAGCCTGCCCTTCCAGCCGTCAGCCGCCGCCGCCGCCGTGACCCCTGCGCTGCGACCGGCGCCGCCACCCGGACTCGGCCCCGTCGATGCCAATCTCAAAAGGAGAAGAAAAAGGGGAGGAAGAGGGAAGAGAAAATCCAGCTGTATACACCCGGGTCCACTCACACCTCCGCTCCCGCCGCCATCTTCCTGCCTGGCCCACTATTTACCCTCCCCTCCCTCTTCCCTCCTCTTCGTCCTCCCATTCTCCCCCGGCTCCCCGCCCCGGCCCCCTCCCAACGTCTGACGCTGCACGTCGTGTGCTTGGGGTCCCTCCAGCACCCTACCTCCGGCCCTCCCGCGTGACGCCAGGGGGAGAAGGAGGCGGAGCGGAGGAAGGGGGAGGGATGGGGACGCCGCTGTACTGCATTCTGGGAAAGACCAGCTCCGACAGCCGCGTGGCCTCCTGGGAGTTGTAGTCGCGATCGTGAGTCCACTGGTGAGTGTTTCGCGTCGGTCAGGCTTGTTGTCCTGGGGACGGTCAGGCCCTGGATGGGCTTCGTGGGATAATTGCGTGGCCGGTTCCCTCCGCCGCGCTTCTCTCTCTGCCGAGCGTGTTTATGACGAATCCGCCGGGCTCGGGGGGCGGACGAGAGAGAACTCTCCGCTGAGGATGCCGGGCCTGCCTTCCATGGCGGCTTCCCGAAAGCCGGGGAGCATTTTGCCGCTTGCCCGGGCAAGTGTGCGGGACTCTTCCGCCTCCACCCAGGGCCAGGGGTTTGCCATCTCCAGTGGCAAGGGGGTTTCTTTCCGCCAAACTACCACTGCAAATTTTGAAAGCCTTTCTTCTCGCTCTTTAGAAATTAGACTTCACACTTGACGTTTCCCGCCTTCGAAGGAAAATGTTTCAGTTCCTTCTCACCAGAGCAAACACTTCACGTTGTTAGATTTCCAAGAGTTTTACTTTGTGGAGAGTAATTTTGAGGGTGTCAGAGAATAAATCACGTTTTAAGAGTTTTTAAAGTAAAATAAGAATGTGAGGTAATCGCCTGGAGTTTTTCTTTAGTTGCAAATGAGTATCTCCCTGAGACTCAGGTTAACCATCTCTGCCGACCTACCGCTCTCTGAAAGATAGAGAAGGTTGGTATAGAAACTTTATTGTAAGAATGACCCGTGTCATATAGCGTCTAAGTGGCAGAGTTAGGATTTGAATACAGATCTCTCTTATTTCCAAGACGATACCCTTTTCTTAGCTTCAGAATACCTATATAAAAAGAAGAATTGTGTACGTAATGTATACTATAGATAAATATGTCGGAGTAACTGTGTTCTTAATTTCACCTAATGATTTGAACATCATTTAGTTATGCTGTCCTATTTAATCCCACTGTAGAATTTATTATTTCTATTCTATTTCTATGTCTGATATTTCACATGAAGAAACTGAACCACAGAGAAGTTAAATAACCTTCCGAAGGTCATACAGCTAGTAAAGAGCATAGTTGCAGTTTTCCAATTCTCATTCCCATCCCACTAGAGTTCTTCAGTTCCTCTTCTATCTCCCTATCTTCCACCTCCACTTTTATCTCCACTAAGCATCAATTCTAAAGCCTGCATCCTGGCCCTCTACTCCTCCTGTCAAAACACAGAAGCCAAAAACAAAACAAAACACACCAAAAAAACAAACAAAAAACACCAGAGGTGCTGGAATTGGTAATGTTTGTAGTTTTACTGATCAGCAGGTAGAGGAATGAAGGGGAATATTTATTTGTTTCTGATGCTAGAAATATAGCAGGAGAGGATATCCCAAGTTGAAACTGAAAACACTAATTTTATAAAAAAAATAATACTATATGATAAAAGGGTAATATTGCAAATCGACCGACCAGCAGAACGACCAGTTGCTATGATGCACACTGACCACCAGGGGGCAGACACTCAATGCAGAAACTGCCCCCTGGTGGTCAGTGCACTCCCACAGGGGGAGCGCCGCTCAGCCAGAAGCCCTGAGCTGGCAGGAGCGGGCCTAAGCCATCAGTCGGACATCCCTTGAGGGCTCCCGGACTTCGAGAGGGTGTAGGCTGGGCTGAGGGACCCCCCCTCCACCAAGTGCACGAATGTCATACACTGGGCCTCTAGTATCCTATATAATAAAGAGCTAATATGCTAATTAGACTTAACAGTAGAAGGACCGTCCTGATGACCTTCCAGATGAAGCTGGGGCTGCGAGGGCTCCTGTGGGATTGGGCCTAAACCGACAGTTGGACATCATACTCACAATCCGGGACTGCTGGCTCCCAACCGCTCGCCTGCCTGCCCGATTGCCCCTAACTGCTTCTGCCTGCCAGCCTGATCACTCCCTAACCACTCCCCTGCCAGCCTGATCGACACCTAACTGCTCCCCTGCCGGCCCAATCGCCCTCAACTACCCTCCCCTGCTGGCCCAGTCACCCCCAACTGCCCTCCCCTGCCAGCCCGGTAATCCCCCGAGGGGTCCCAGATTGGAGAGGGTGCAGGCTGGGCTGAGGGACACCCTCCGTCTCTCAGTGCACAAATTTCATGCACCGGGCCTCTAGTATTTACACAATTTAGTCCTTATAGGTTCTGTATTTCCACAGTATTTTTTATGTTAAATATGTGTTTTGAGTTAAGTAGTCTTTTTTAACTAATCTGGGAATTTAACTGTTTTTTTATACCGCTTTTCCAAACTGAAATGTAACTGGGTTAAAAGTTGGGGGTTTACATAAGAAACATGATTTTGCAAACTTAGAAATAGAAATACTAATCTATGAAATAGCTAAAAATCTATGAATAGCAACAGTCTAAAAACTAGAGTACAAATAAGCAAAGTACAGCATGTGAATAATACAGCTGATTTTTTTTTTGGCCCTATTTTAATGTCTTGAATAATCTGGATGGTGAAATTATGGGCCATTTGAATTTTCGTCTTTATACTATTTTGTATGATGAAAAGAATATCTATATAGGTGTATGTGTGTGCATGTGTATATGTATATGTATCACTTGTGGTAGAAGAAAAGGTAATTATAAGTGATATTAATTAGGTAAGGATTAATCTCTTTTTTTTAAATCCTCTCTCAAGGAGTGATGATATTTTTTCCATTGATTCTAGAGATAGAAGAGAGGGGGTGGACGAGAGACTGAGAAACATCTAGTATGTGACAGAGACATATGAATTGGTTACCTTCTACATGTGCCCGCACCAGGGGCAGGGATTGGACCTGTAACCCAGCTACATGCCCTTGACTGGGAATCCAATCTGCCACCCTCTGGTGTGCAGGCCGATGCTCTAACCACTGAGTCACAAGGGCCAGATCTAGTTAATCTCTCCACATTCGCAGTGTTCTAAATTAATTTTTAATTTCGAGTTGCTAATGTCCCTGTGTTTCCATACATTCAGGATCAGGATAATTGATGATTGCAACATTTCTTAAGAATGCCACATCATTGTCTTCAGAGTTTTTTTCTCCAAGCTGCTGACACCGATTCTTCATGTTTTGATGCATAGGTAATGACAATTATGTTACAACTGCTACTTTACTGACAAGGATTATGTGAGACATCCCAATTTTAGTGATGTTAAAATGTGAAAAGCCCTGGCCCGGTGATTCAGTTGGTTGGAGCATTGTCCCCTACACCAAAAATGTTTCGGCTTCAATTTCCAGTCAAGGCACATAACTAGGTTGCGGGTTTGATCCCAGGTGGGCGCACATACTTGAGGCAACCCATTCATGTTCTCTCTCTCTCTCTCTCAAATCAATGAAAACATATCCTTAGGTGAGGATTTTTTTAAAAGTGAAAAAATGTGTGTCTCTGAAGCAATGAAATATGGTTCTGGCTTTTCCTTCTTAACTGTTTCCTCATTTTTTTCCCTGAGAGCACTATTTATGATTTTCAAAATATACACATATATGTGGAGAGAGAGAGAGAGAGTGTGTGTGTCTATCTATACTATTGTACAAATTGCATTTTAAATTAAACAGGTAAGAGCGAACTGTGCAATTTTCTCTCTCCTCATTTCTCCCCTTTCCCTACATTACTATTGTTTATATGTGTTGTGTATTACTATTGTCTGTTACTGTTTTCCCTCTTCCTCTATTCCTCCTCTACCATAGCAATTGTTGGCGGCAATGGTGGGAATAGTTGAGGAGGGAGCAGGTGAGAAGTAGAAGCTGGGAGAATAATAAGCTATAATGGAACTTTTGTAACATGCCTTACATCCTGTTTTACTTGGCTCACAGGGATAGAGAAGAGAAGCTTATGTTATGCCTATTAATAATTGTGACTTCAATCCTGTTTCCCACCCCAGCATTCCAAGCACCTCCAATCTTCTCACCATTTTTTCAGGCCCTGTGATTCGTATTTATCTCCTGGCCTCGAATTCAGACTTGATTTCTTACATCTCAGCTTCATATTTTTATTATCCTCCAAGGGGTATTATTATGATTCTAAATGGTTAGCAGCATTAAGTTAGGTTATCCATTTTATGGAGATGGATATTTAAGTAGGCATGGCCATATTGCTTGCTTGCTTCTTCTTTGTTCTGTTCCTAATCAGCAACCCTCCATTTGGATTGAGAGACTCTTTAATTACTTCAATTATTATTATTGTACTAGAGGCCGGGCGTACGAAATTGTGCGCAATTGTGGTCCCTAGGCCTAGCCTGCGATCAGGGCCATCTCGCTACCACCCATCCCGGTTCCCTGTTCGCCATCAGCTATTGGAGCCTCCGGGCCAGGAGGAGGGACCAAGAGGTTGGCCGTTCTGCCTGCTCGCCAGTCCCGCCCCCCTGCCGCCACCCACCCCAATTCCCCATTCGCCATCAGCGATTGGAGCCTGCCAGTCCGGGAAAGGAACTGAGAGGTGGTCAGTGCACCTCATAGTGACTGGTCGAGCGGTCGTTCTGGTCATTCTGCCATTATGGTTGCTGGGCTTTTATTATATAGGATTATGCTCCTACTTCCAAGTCTTACTATGTTACTTGATCCATAAGATAACTCTGCATATCTTATATATCTTAGACTCCCTTGTGTGTTGATTTTTACCTTTTAACTCTCCAAGGACAGATGATATCATAATGCACTGCATATAGTTACTTAAAAATATGTTACATCCCACAGAAAGTTCTAACATTCAGCAATAGGACAGTGATTTCAGAAAAGGAATTTTAAAGAGGTGTAAGCTACCCTTTTATTCCTTTTC